TTGTGTACACATTATTGAAATGGCAATCAAAGATGCTCATTTGTATAATTTTAGAAATATTAAGAAATGTTACTTTTAGTTATTATAACTTTTCAAACATATTCCCCTCAAAAACATGTTTATATTATCTTTCCCCAGGAGAATAACTTTTCTCAAATATTATCATCAAATTGAAATACTACTGTTAAGTTTTAGACTGAATTTTAAAATTAATCCTAGAAATACACATATTTATAGGCACTACACTTTTGGTATTTTATGGTTCAATCACTTCATGTTAAAATGTAATATTTTAAGTTGGAGGCATAATTACTTAATTGGGAGTCTCTCTAATGAGGTCCTGGGCCTTGTACACTGAAATATGCTTTGAGTGACTTAATAAGAGTTCTGTGCTCTGTCTTTACCACATTTATCTTAGGCCCAAACTTACTCATTTCTTTTTATTAAATCTGAACCATCAGAACTAAATATTTTATTCAATCATGAAAAATAACAAAAACATCACATTTATTCTAAATGGATTTTATGAAAATCTAAAAGATGGATTGTTGCAGAATTATAAAAGAATCTGTTTTATATAGTCTATTAATAAACACATTATTGTTCTACAATTTGTAAGTCCTTTTGCTTTGGAATTTATCTCTATTTTAAATTCAATTTTTACAATGTCATAACATTTTTCAGATTTTACATTGGCAGTAACATTTAGAAGTTCCAATAGTTTAGTGAAGTTGAAGTGTGTCATTTCCAGTTTAGAAAGTAGATTATGGGGGGGGGGGATTTGCCTATGTAAATTACCAATAAATCTAGATATACTTCAAAGCCTAAAATTTGACAAAGTAAATATTACTACATTTTTACAGACCATAATTTTAATCAGTGGAGAGTAACTTTTAGTAGACTTTCAAGAGATGCTTGATAAAGACATTTCTCATGTAGCTTTCAGATTTTGTGCTGAAGTGTTTAAAATTTATTTTATCTAAAGACATAAACATATAAATAGTAAGAGTTGGTATTTAGGGGAGAAAGATATAAAGGTAACATTTTAGAATTTGGACTATTTGGAACTTTGAATTTATGTTGGTCAGTAGCCATCTTAAAAATCTATAATGACTGTGTTTTTCACTTTAATGTTTCCATTGCATTGAGTAGGGTTTTTTTAATCCAAAATATTATTGGTGCAACTTATTTTAAAGGTTTCTGATATTGGTATGTGTACAGATATGAATCTTATTGAATGATACTAACAAGTTTTTAATTTTTTTTTTTTAGTTGTAGGTGGACACAATATCTTTGTTTTATTTTTATGTGGTGCTGAGGATCGAACCCAGGGCTTCACAAACGCTAGGCAAGCGCTCTACCTCTGAATCACAATCCCAGCCCTAACCACAAGTTTTATACCTGTTGCAAACCAGGTATAGGTTTAGAGCAATCCTCAAGGAAAAAATGGAATGGTCAAAGTCTGTTAATTGATTCTATGTCACAGGAAAGCAGGGAGCTGAAACTCCAAGCCTCGCTCTTGTGTTCCAACAAAAGAAAATTTAAAGTCAGACACCAAGGTCCTAAAGAGAACTTTATTACAAGTGAAAGTGGGGTGAAAATAAAGCAAAAGAAAAGTGAAGCTTAAGCAAAAAGCACTCTCATGAAAGAGAGTGGGCCGTCTCCAAACAGAGAATGACAAAGGAGACAAGGCTGTCCCCCATTTTCATTACTGTTTGATGTTTACCAGGAAAAATGGGTTCCATTCTCTGTACTCTTTTTGCTAATCAGGGGTTCACATAGGGACAGTGAAGATTTTTACCTTAGTTGGTTCTCTTTGGAACTGTCATGGTGGCCATTCTCTTTAGGGGGGGCTTCATCTACAAGTCAATCCTATGTTAATGTGGACAGTGGGGTCAGTAGCTGGTCAGAAGTTACCTTAATGTGCCTGCATTACTAAAGGAATCTTCCCAGACAATTGGAGACACTTATAGCCATAATTCCTAACTTCACATCAACTTCAGTGACTCACTTAGTCCCACTCATCCTGTATTGATCTCTCTTTCACTGTCTCCCAAAGATGGGAATGAGGGTCATGTGTCCATTTCAAAATTTCTGTAAAAGCCACTTGAAATCACTTATATGAAAGTATTCGGCAAACTTTAAAATCATACACATTGGTAGTTAATAATATATCATGACCACATGTTTACATTTCACTTCAATAATTATTATTATAACAAGCCATTAGAAGGTTTGATGATACCCCTGGGGCCATTTTTATCATAAGTGAATGTTTCTCTTCATAAAAAGCCTGTTAAACTCTCCAAGGCCTATGGCAATAAAATAATCTTTTTTTAAAATTAAAAAACATTGTTTTAGTTGTATATGCACTCAATGCCTTTGTATTTATGTGGTGCTAGGATTGAATCCAGTGCCTCACACTTGTGAGACAAGTGCTCTACCACTGAGCTACAATTCCAGTACAATAAAATAATCTTTATATTGTTTCAAGGTCATATTAAAGTGGCTATAGCTGTGTGGAATAAATACCTATAAGTGGAAGAACCTCTAGCACAAAGAGGCACTGTTACTTAGCCTACATCCAGAAACTCATCCCATTAAAAACAAAAAACAAAACAAAAAAAAAAAAACCATTGTCCAAGAGAAGTGTGCTGGGAAGAAAGGAAGTTTTCATTCAATCACCAAGGAAAGAAGAAAATGGAGCTTGGCTCAGAAATCTGCTTCTTAACTCCAGTAGGCAGAAGAGTTACAGATATAGGATAGCAATAATGAGGTGGAGAGATAGCCTAATAAAAGGGATGAATATTCATGTCTTTTCTGGGAGTAAGTGTAGATCTTCCAGGATCCCAGGTGCCACTCCTTTCGTCATCTGCTGTTTCTGGTTATGGTGGCTAGTAGGTGTCTTTATTTTTTTATTTATTTTATTTTTATTTTTTTATTGGTTATTCAAAACATTACAAAGCTCTTGACATATCATATTTCATACATTAGATTCAAGTGGGTTATGAACTCCCATTTTTACCCCAAATACAGATTGCAGAATCACATCGTAGGTGTCTTTAGTCTTAAGAGACTAGACAACTCTAGGTCAAGTTAATCCTCTATTATAGTTTGGACAAAACATTTCTCAAATGATCAACATGTCTACATGCAAATGCTTTAGATTTTGACCCATAGGTTAAGGCAACAAAGGAGACAGACACAATATGAAGTCAGAGAAACCAATCATTTCCATACTGTTCCAGTCAGCATCAGACTTTTGTGGGGCCAAGAGAAGAATCAGTGTTTTCAGAAAAAGGGGATTTCAGATCCCTGAAGAGTAATCTAGGGAAGTAACCATCATAACCCATCTCAGAGGTGTCATCTACAGCAAAACCAGTGGGAGACTAATATGCACTGCCCAGCTGTGTGACCTCCAAAATTAGTGATTTTTAAGTCAACTAAGAAAAGTGAAGCTACATGGTTTGTTTAGGTTTTTCCCCAGGAATAGCACGTTTTTTTCACCTCAAAGTCAGAAACATCTCTCTTAAAACTTTACAATGTCTCCTTTTCTTAGAATGGCAAGAAACATCAGGCTATTTTTTTCCCCTTTTCTTTCTCTATTTTTACCTTCTAATTTTGCCTCCTACTCTGTTCTGGGCCTGAAAAGCGATGTATTCCTAAATGTCAGCTCTGGAAATAAAAAATATAGCAGAAACTGCTATTTTCCTACCCAATAATCATTCTTCTCTTCTTTAAAAATACATTTAAGAATGTTCAACTCACAATGTCCAGCTTCCAGGCAAAAATGTTAACACATGCTAAAAAGCGAAAAATATGACCCGTAATGGGGGGGGGGGATACAAATCGACAGAAACTCATTCAAAAATAAACAAGATATAAAAGTTGCTCACAGATGTGTCGAATTCTAACTTGTATGGCGCAGGGTTGGGCATTTTCTTATACCTTATGTAAAGCACCACACCCCTAGATTTGACATGATCTAACAGGCTGTAGAGATTGCTGGGTTCAGATTGATTGATTTTTATATATATATATTTACCGAGGATTGAACCCAGGGGCGCTTAATCACTGAGCTACAGCCCCAGTCCTTCGCTTAGGGCCTCCCTAAGTTGCTGAAGCTGACTTTGAACTCAGGATCCTCCTGCCTCAGCCTTCCCAGCTGCTGGAATCACAGGCGTGCGCCACCTGCTTGGGTTCAGATTTTTACCTATGTTTGTGGAAATTTGAGCGAATTAACTACTGCTTTTTATATTTTCAAACAGACAAAACAGCCTTCGGTACTACTCCCCTCCCCACCCCACCTCTGTTATGCTGCCCAAGCACAGACTCGCCAGAGCCTAACGTGGATGGGAAGGACCACTGAGTTGTCCCTAGCATGCCCCTTCTCTGTCCTTGAGTCACAAGGATTTGTGGAAAGACCCTCCCTTCTCACCCACCGGCCTCGTGCTGGACCCCGGTAACCTGTCGCCCAGATCAGGTCAGCTCGGTTACTGAACCCCGCGGGCCCAGACTCCTACCTTGCCCTCCGGGGGAGGTCGGCGAAAGCTGCCAGTCCACAGCTCCTCCGCCCTCGGGGCGGGGCGGGGCGGGGCGGGCTCTCGCAGCCAGGGAGGAGCTGGCTCCGCGGAGCCGCGCGCGGAGGGCTGGGCTCACTGCGGCTCCACCCCCGCCGCGGCACTGTTCACCAACCTGGTGCTGATCCACGTCGAGCCCGGCTCGCCTCCACCCAGCACGCCGGGGTCTGGTCCGGGAAGCGCCTCGGCGGAGAGCGAGGAGCCGTGCCAGGCCCCGCCGGCTATGCCTCCTGCTTCAGCGGTTCCCGCCGGCGCCCGCGCGCCCGCAACCCCTGGGGAGCAGCCAGGCCCCGGGGACACCGGGCTTTGAGGCCGGGGCCTAGTGCCCGCCGCGGCCCCGCAGGAGGGGCCCAGGCCCGCCTCCCCGCTTCCCTAGTCACTTGGCCGACCTAGGCTCGCTCCCCTCCGCTGCCGCCTGCCATGGCCGTCGCCGCCCAGGAGGGCGCGGACTCGGGGCGTCGGCAGCCTCGGCGGCACCAGGCGCTGCGCGGGTTGCTGTTGCTCTGCCTGTGGCTGCCCAGCGGTCGTACGGCCGTGCCACCGGCGGCGCCGCTGTCCGAGCTGCACGCGCAGCTCTCGGGCGTGGAGCAGCTGCTGGAGGAGTTCCGCCGGCAGCTGCAGCAGGAACGACCGCAGGAGGAGCTGGAGCTGGAGCTGCGCGCCGGCATCGGCCCGCGGGAAGGCTGTCCAGGCCCCGGCGGCGACGGCTACAGCGCCATGCCCGACGCCATCATCCGAACCAAGGACTCCATCGCTGCAGGTGCCAGCTTCCTGAGAGCACCGGCGGCCGTGCGGGACTGGCGTCAGTGTGTGGCGGCCTGCTGCTCCGAGCCGCGCTGTTCGGTGGCGGTGGTGGAGCTGCCCAGGCTGCCTGTGTCCCCGGCGGTCGCGCTCGGCTGCTACCTCTTCAACTGCACTGTGCGCGGCCGCAGTGTCTGCAAGTTCGCACCGCATCGCGGCTTCAGCAGCTACAGTCTCAGCCGCGCCCCAGACACCGGGCTAGGAGACTTGGAAGCTGGAGACCCCGCTCTGGCCACCGCCTGGTCCTCGCCCCGGCTGGGTAAGCGCGACTGAAGGGCCTGCTGTGGCCAATCTGCTTGGGTACCTCTGTCCTTTCACCTGGTGGGTGGCTGTGCTTTTCCAAACATCTGGGAGACCCTCATGGGGAGAAAGACTGGCCTCCCTTCGCCAACTCACTCCAAATTCCAAGTAATTTAAACTGCAGGTAACCGAAAGGATGGCGCTGATTTCTCAGTCTTATCGATGGTTCCTGAGAACCCTTGTAGATTGGAAGAAGCCGGAGTGGTGGGCTGCCATATGGAATTTTCTAGGTTTGGGTAGCTGATCTAAGAGGATTGGCGGAAATTTGATTTTTTAAAAAATAGAAAAGCTCAGAGGGGAAAAAAGGTTTATTTTAGTCTCAGATTTTATAAGGCACAGTTTGTGTTAGCTAATTGCAAGAGCAAAATCTAATTACATGTGAACTTTCTCATAACACCCACCCTTTTTCTTGGTATGACTCTCAGGACTCAAGATTCTGCCTGTGCTTAATTGCTTCATCAGACAAAAGTGGGAAGGAAAACTACTGTTCACTTTAATACAGAGTAAAAAGAAGGGACTTGATTGTGGCTTAAAATCAGAATGTTTAAAGCATGTCTCTTTTTAAAAGAGCTAAAAATAGTGCCAGTTCCATGGCTTTACCTTCTGCAAGTTCTAAAAATGAGAGTCCAGATACACACAGGAGACACAAAAATTGTAGCTGTTGGAAAATTAACATCACTGAAGGATTAAGACCTTGATTGAGCCCCCCCCCCCGCCGCATCAGACTCAATGTTTCATCATATAAGTTGATGTTTGATTTATAATAACACAAATGACATCATTAGCAATATTGGGGAGCAGGGTAGTGTCAGCCTTTTTGGAAATCTGGCTTCTCCACGTGGTTTCAATGAGAAGGGCTGTAAATCTTTGTTTATGGTGCCCTGCCTCCCTCCCTCACATCCACTTAGATGAAACTTAGGACATTTGTCAGGGGAGCAAACGTCAAAAGACCATCCTGCTACTGCTCAACCTTGAGCTAGATGCTGGGAAGGACCTGGTGGTCTTTTCCAAATATGGAGCAAACAGCACCTGCACTTGGACCCCTACCATCCTCCTTGAGCCTTACCTCATGGCTGCTGTCCTTCCTCTCTACCCACAGAGGGAACAAAGTATCTGGGTTCTCACTACTGATCTGAGAGGAACTGACATAGTCAAAGGGAGCCTTCCTACAACCACGGGAAAGGAAACTAAATAGGAAGAGAGTAGGTCCAGGGAAGTTAACAATAAAAACTTTTAGTTGCTGAAAGTTTCCAAGTCATTTTTCTTCATTCTTCCTTCTTTACCCTTCCTTTCTCTAGGGAGAGTTTTTCTAGGAATTCCATTTTATAGATGTTTGGAGATAAGATGAGGTAACCACTGGATTAATCTTCATTTCTGAGAGAATGCTGGCATACTCAGACTTCAGTCCCCAGCAACAGGGAAAGTGCAAGGTGCAGCCAGGCTCAGAGGCTACCTTGTCTCTCTGCATGGATGGTGATTGGTTTTTCCAGGGTCCTGGGTTTGGTTTCCCTACCCAGATGCTTTACGTGGAGTTCTTTGTGCTTCTGAGACTACCGAGTTTTTCCTTTTTAAATTCTTTCTCTTTTTTTCCGAATCTTATGAACACTTGGAATTGAAGTCTCAATGACATTCAAAATGGTTTAGAAGAGCTCTAGGAAAAGAAAAGTTGTTAAAGGATTATTTGAAGTCAGATAAAGGATTAGGAAGAAATAGTGAAGGATTAGGTGGAACGGGATAGCACAAATTTATAGCATCAACCTGTTTGTTGCCCACATTTATTGAATTTGGTGTTAGGAGATGTTCTAAACTCTTCACACACATGAACTCACAACAGCTTCAAGATCTAGGTTCCATTACAATCCCTAGTGTAAAAGAAAGCTTTATGAAAGAAAGCCTCTTGCCTGAGGGTCACACAGCAAGTGGGTTTTGGAGCTGAGACATAGAGCAGCTATGTGCTTTCTCCAGCAGCTCCTGGGTTGGAACTTAGTGGCTATAGGGGATGATGCGAGATGCAGGAATAAGTGGAGGATGCTGGAGAGATCTCTTGAAGTGACCAAGCCTACCTGGTAGGGCATCCTAAGAGCAGAGCAGGTTTGAGATGGGGCTCCTCCACATATAAGTCCCTGCTAGTCCCCTTGGGACTGGTGTATGTACTTTTCTTCCAGCTCAGATTGTCATGAGGATCAAGGATAGACATACCTTGTGCATGATCAAAGTGGCACACATGTCCGTGATATCAATATAGGACCTTGGTTGGGTTGTGCAGTTGGCTGGTGGGGTAGGAGGACTGACTGTGAGGATGGGAGGGAAGGAGGGATAGGTGGGCACTGGAGCAGTTTGGTTCATGGAGAGGCTAAGACTGTAACCTCCCAGAACTCAGAGCCAGAACTTTAATGTTGTTCCACTGTATAGCTTGAAATCCAGTATCTCTGGGAAGAATTTGGGAAGTCATCCCCTTCTGTGTCAGGGAAACTCAAAGCAATAGGCAGAGTTCTGCTCTCCCCTTTGCCTATCACCTGCTGCTACCCCTAGCCTGTCTCTCAGCTGCTCCAAGAGCAGAGGAAGAAATTGGCCATCCTGTCAAGGTTAATCCCTCCCCAGCTGGTAGCCAATCTCCTCCAAGGACCTTACTTTCTCACATTTTCATCTCTCTTGTTATAAATAAATGTTTACATTTAATAAATAATATAACTAGTTAGCAGTGTTTGGGGAAATACATTTTAGACCTCAACCCTAACCACACATGAATTCTAGCTGGATTAAAGAATCTTTTTCTAAATTAAGCCATAGTTTATTCCATAGATAGGAAACTTAAAAATAAAACTACTGTTATATATCTGTAAGAAATATAACTTTCTAGTCAATTCAAGAGATGATAAAGGAAAAGGATACATTATGGACATATTTATAAAAACTATGTCAAGAAACAAAAGAAATTGCAAACAAGAATCTAGGAAAATATGAATTTAAAATATTTATTAATAGAGCATATGAATCAGTAAGAAAAACAAAAATAAGTGTGTGAAGGACATGACCAAACAGTTTCCAAAAGAGGAAGTATAGTTGATGAACATATAAAAAGATTCAGCCATTGAAGTAATCAAAACAAATATCAATAATGCCAGCTCGGGCTTATTAAATTTGCAAAAATAAGTATAATCTTAACTTGGCATGAATGTGGAAAACTTAATGTACTCTTACATAGTCACTGAGATTGTAAATTGGTACCATCCCCTTGGAAACCAATTGGGAAATACTTAGCAGAAACTATTACGATATTCATTTATTTGATCCATGCTAAAAAAAAAGAAAAAAGTGTTTAGTATGGCATTATTTATAATGGTGGGGGAAATTGGGTAACAAAGTAAGTGTCCAATAGTAAGAATTAGGAAATTTAAATGGCAATTCTAAAATTTTTGTAATTACATGGGCAGTTCTATATGTGTAAATAAATATTAATAGGTGGAATAAATATATATCCATAAGCTAGTAGATTCAATTCTGAATGTGAAATTATATTTGTGGTAACTGGGATACACTTAGGGTACCTCAAAGTATAGTAGAAGGAGCCTTTGAGTTAGAAATATCTGGGCTGACATCTGAGCTGAAAAACTGAGCTCTTGAATGTGTGATTTTCAGCAACCATAGCCTCTCTGAGCCTAGGTTCCTTATCAGTAGTATGCAGATCATAGTACCTACCTCAGAGTTTTAGTGAGGTTAGGCCTATGAAGCACTTAGTGTGGTTCCTGGTAGAAAGAAGTCACCCAATAAATGGCAACAATTATAATTACAGAACTATAATTATATATATCATATATATGATCATCAGCATGCTATGGAGAAAAATTAGAACAGTACAGACCAAAAATAACAATAATCATATTGGGATTGTGGGTAAGTTTTTTCTAAAGTGTGACATCTTAAAAATCCCATGATGGCTTTTACCACGTTTCCAAGCATCTCTCCTTAGTCTGGCCCTGCCTCCATATCTCACTTCAGGGTCTTTCTAATTTCTCAGTTTAGTCTGTGTTCACACCCAAACACCTTCCTTGTCTTGAAGGTTCTGTTCACAGCAGTATGTTGTGAATGAGGCCAGCTAACTTATTCTTCTCTGGGTAAAATCCCAGTTTGATATGCTCAGTCTAAAATTGGTGCAAGTCTTATTTCACCTCTGTAGGTCTTATCAACTGTTTAGTTTTTAAAAACAATCAATGTTTCCATAGTATTTAACATAGGATTATTACATTTTTATGAGGAAAATTCAAAATTATATTTATCTTGTTCTTCATTAGCAGGTCAACCATTGTTAAGTGGTAGCACACACCTTTTCCTGTTGTCTTTTACTTACTTTAAGGGTTGTTTCTGGGTAGATAAGCTCTGGCTTATTTTAAAATACATTTTATGGTATCACTGGAACATTATCTCTGTTATTCCAAACATATCACAGGTCAATTTAATGGGTATAAGAATTTCACTATGGGGGCTGGGCTTGAGGCTCAGTGGTAGAGCACTTGCCTAGCACCTGCGAGGCCCTGGGTTTGATCTTCATCACCACATAAAATAAAATAAATGTATTGTATCCAGCTACAACTAAAAAAATTTTTTTAAAAAAGAGAATTTCATTATGTTCATATCTTAAATCATATCTTAAAACTGATGTAAGTGAAAGTAAATGACTAAAATGGTTTTCTTTCAGGAGAGGCAAGATTAATTGGTTTTATAATGTGAGATATTTCAAACTTACCTGATCATTCCATATTATATCTTTTTTTTTTTTTTTTTTCGTTATCGGCGGACACAACATCTTTGTTTTGTATGTGGTGCTGAGGATCGAACCCGGGCCGCACGCATGCCAGGCGAGCGCGCTACCGCTTGAGCCACATCCCAGCCCCCCATATTATATCTTTGATGTAAACTCTGAGCCACATCCCAGCCCCCCATATTATATCTTTGATGTAAACTCTTTGGATGGTTTTAAAAATTACTAGAGTTTGTGGCTTTTTATATCATTTAGGCATATTGTAGTTCATTTACTTGAAAATAGTTTTTTGTTTTTGTTGTTTGTTTTTTTTGGTACTGGGGATTGAACCCAGGGCCACTGAGCCACATCCCCAGCCCTTTTTTTATATATATATTTTATTCAGAAACAGGGTCTCACTAGATTGCTTAGGACCTTGCTAAATTGCTGAGGCTGGCTTCGAACTTGCAATCCTCCTGCCTTGACCTCCTGAGCCACTGGGATTACAGGCATGAGCCACTATTCTGGGGAAAATAGCATTTTAAAGCAAATTTTAATGCAAATAGCTGCTAACTGTAATGTCTAACTGCTGGATTATAAAATGTTTTTCAGAATTATACAGTGGAAACCTTTTGTGAAAACTATGAAACTTTTGTAACCAAAGGGAAGTCAACACTTCTAGAAAAGACCTATTGTATCACATCTGTCCTCGTGGCGAGATGCAGATTAAAGACATCAGTTGTTCAGTCTTTGCTCAGAGATAGAAAAGGGAGAAGAACAGGTTTTTCCTTAGGTAGGGAGGTGTTTACTTTAATATATTTAAATTTAATATATTTCCCATCCATTGAATACTTTATAATACTTGTACATTAAAAACTGGAAGACAAGAAAAAATAAAATCTGTACTAGAAGTAAATTTGGTTTCATTGAGGTTAGTTTCAGGAATTTTTTTTTTTAATCAATTCATTTAGTAGACCTTTGAACTTAAATCATTTATAAATAAGTGAAAAATTCAGAGAATATAACGACTTCTCCAGATTTACAGGTTGGTGGGCCCTGGCACATTTTCTTCCCTCTCTACTTTGTCCACAGCTACTGCTAGTAGTCAGCATGCCATACCTTACCTTCTGCATACATCATAGCCAAATTTCTATATTCATAATTTTTTCTTTATTATGTAAAGAGAACACAATGAAAATCAATAGGAAAATAAATTCAAGTTATTCATTCTCTCAGCAGTTCTTTGCTGGACCAAATCTAGTCAATACCAAACCACTCTTCATAAATTAGAAAAAACAGACTTATGATTGTTTATTTTCTTTCATAGACAAGGATGAACCTCCACTTAGCAAGGCTGGGCAGGATGTGATTTTGCATCTGCCCACAGATGGGGTGATTCTGGATGGCCGTGAAAGCACAGATGACCATGCCATCATCCAGTATGAGTGGACACTGCTGCAGGGTGACCCATCAGTGGACATGAAGGTAACTCGTGTCATCCTTGGTAATGAAAACTGAGGTTTCTGGAAAAATGGTCTTCTGTAGTGTCCTTCTGCTCATGTTCCCCCAATGCCTGTGAGTTAGAAGAAGAGCTATAAAATGGAGAAAATGTAGGATTGATTGTAGAAAACATGGTTGCTTTTATACATTTACTTTCCTTGATTTTTTTCAGTGATTTTTGAGCATTTATTTTGAAGCCTGCCTCATTCCTCTGCTTTTTCTTGACAAGAGTACTTCAAAGAAGAAAACATGTTTTGTTTCAATGAATCAGATTACTTTTTAAAGGTTTTTCCTTTTTCTTGCTTCAAGACTCAAGTAGAAAGTTTGAAAAACATCAAGGAATATTAAGAGAAAAATAGCAATAGAATGAACTAATTCTTTACAAGATCCAGAGAGAGAACATTGTATCTGGTGGTTTCACTGTTTGCAACCATTGTGAGGAGAGCAAGCATGGTGTCAGACTTTCCTGCTCAGGTGCCCCGTGCTGTTCTCCATCAGGCTCGTCTGGGCACAGCTGGATTTGCTGCACTGACAGAGCTATCTGTCCAGGGGCTGCCTACACGCACTGGGTCTTGAGTCATGAGACAAGTCAGGACCCTTTCTAGATAGGAGCATGTCCTGGTTGAGGCACATAAACTTCATCCAGACCACTCCCTTGAGAGGAGCTGGAGGAAGAAGGTGAACAAAACACCAATTTGTGCTCTAGTGAAACAAAAACAAAAATGATAATAAGCCAGTCACATAACACTGGCATACACTGATTTTACTCATAGGCTTTGAATTGGACTGGATCTCTGCACAGCATCTTACTGTGCCTGTCCCTCAAACAAGAACCCTTCTTACAGCATCCCTTCCAAGGGTCATCCACTATCTGCCTGACTCTTTCGGTAATGGAAGCTCACTGTTACACGTCATGTCTTATGACATTGCTAGTCAGCTTTAATTATTAGGCAGACAGGATGTCCCTCTCATTATCAGTATTGTTGGTGCGGGACCTTCCTTATGGAAAAACACTGAATATATTTTTTTGTTCTGTGTAAAATCCCTTCAGCCCATTTTCACACTATCCAGCATCCAGCCTAGTCTGGATTTTCTTAGACTAGTCCACACCTTTCTTAAAGTCTGGTACCCCCAATTGAATTCGATATTCATGCTGTGGTTCTTCCTGATACCCTGTTACTTCCTGTTGTCTAGACATTGTCCCTACTGCTATTAGTGAAGTTTAATTTCCATTAACTATTTTAATAGCTACATCACACAACAGATTCTTGCTGAAACTTTTCCCATTATCTTTCCACATGACTGCTGTCATATCGTCTCCCCTTTTCTGTGTTTCTATAATTGATTTATTGAACCTGAGCATACAACCTTCTGTTTATCCTTCTTACATTTCAACTTCGGAGTTTTTTTCTACAACAGAAATAATTTTGAGTGTCCCATCATATTTATTGTTTTTTATGCTTGTGTCAACTGCAAGATTAATTTATCTTTTTATCAGTTTTTTAACTTGTTCTAATTAGTTACACATGACAGTAGAATGCACTTTGACACATCATACATAAATGGAGTATAACTTCTCATTCTTCTGGTTGTACATGATGTAGAATCATACTGGTTGTGTAGTCATATGTGCACACAGGGTAATAACGTCCAATTCATTCTACTATTCTTCCTACCTGCCTACCCCTTCCCCTCCCTTCACTCCCCTCTGCCTAATCCAAAGTAACTCTATTCTTTCCTAGTGCCCCCCTTATTAAGATTAATTTATCTTAATTGAAATTTTGAGAATTCAAGTTAATCAGGAAATATATATGGACAAGTCATCAATCATACCACTAGAAAATTTCCTCAGGATGAACACTGACTATGACTTGGCACTCTAGGGATACATCTGTTCAAGAAGCTGCTAATTATGCCTCCATCATCATCTAGCTTTTCATACTTGCTATTGAAAACTATTCTGTGAGAGATAAATTGCACCTATGAGTGATAAATAAAAATAATGCTAATGATTTGGTATTTAGTTTATTGAAGACATTTCTAAAGGAGTAATAAAATTAGATATTATGCATAACCATTTAAGACTGATTATTGTGTTATCAAGAGGAAACTGGACCAATTTCCCAGCCAGGTATATAACAAGAGTGGCAGGCAGTTCTAACATTACCGAATCATCATCTAAGAGACAAAACCAACATTATGGGAGTCTTCTGATATCAAATTGTGTCTCTCTTACAATGGTGTACATTCATGAATGACCCCCAAAGTAAATACTGGTTGTCCTACTTTGACATCATCCTAACTGTAGCTACCAGGAGCCTGACTCAGTGCTAGGCAATTTAGATCTATCTGAATTCTCAGAACAACTTCCCATGTAGACTCATCCACACTGTGTGGATTAAGATTGTCAAGAAAATTATAAAAGACCTTGAAATGGCCAAAAGATTACTGAGTACCTTTCAATGGAACACTGGGAGTTGGTTCGAGGATCCTTCCATGGTTAGCATTTGAACGTTGTCATGCAAATGATTCTTGTTTGTAAAAATGAAAATACATTTTTTCATATATAGATGCAATTGATTTTTCACTCTGGAGACAAGAGGATTTCCACATGACATTTTAGTACTTGTAGTTACTAATCCATCTAGTAATAAATTTATTTCAGTACCTATTAATAAACTCATTTCTATTTTGTATCTATTAGCAACTTTGTATCTGCATTCATGACTATTATATATGTCTATTCTCTAGATTATCATCTTAATCAGTTTAACATATTGTTAGTTTCTTTTTTAATTCATGAGTTAAATAAAATTTTGGACACATGTTCATATTACATTTGTGTAGGAGTCATGGTTTACCATTTTGAGAATTTTTCCCTAACAGTAAATAACCATCCTTAAGGGCTACCACTCTGATTCCTTTAGCTTACGCAGCCTGGTTTCACACTCCAAATTTTCTAACAGGAAAATTGGAACTCAGATAAAATCACCCTTTTTCTGAGAATGATACCCAGCTTGATAGGAATGTTAATGTACTCCTCTTCAAGCTGCAGAATGGGGCTAATGTGGGAGGTTTTGGGGAATGGGGGAAGGTGATTAGAGCATAATGACACTGGGTACCCTTGTTCTTAAGTCCCCTTACTCTCCCACCACCCCGGAGCACTCCTTCACCAGGCTTCCCTCCAGGGCCTTTCCTATGTGTGTGTGTGCGTGGTGTATTTAGTTGTTAATAGACCTTTATTTTCTTTTTTTTTTAATTTTCTAACTTATTCTTTTGTTTTTAATATTTGCTTTTTAGTTGTAGTTGAACACAATACCTTTATTTTTATTTATTTTTACGTGGTGCTGAGGATCAAACCCAGGGCCTTGCACATGCTAAGCAAGTGCTCTACCACTAAGCCACAACCCCAACCCAATTGACCTTTATTTTCTTTAATTTATATGTGGTGCTGAGAATCGAATCCAGATTCTCACACATGCTAGGCAAGTGCTCTACCACTGAGCCACAACCCCACCCCTTTCCTAACCCCTTCTTGACCACTCCCTGGTTCTCCTCCCATTTTGCCTCGGTGTGTACAGGCTCTACACTCCCTCTCCATCGCAGGGTAGTAGTCAGGCCTCCCTTTATCCTGAGACTTTTAGACCATGTTTAAGGACCTGTCTTTTCACATCCAAATAATTCAGTTGGGTGTTTAAAAAACAGTGACAAAAGCCAATAAGGGTGCTGGGGATATAGCTCAGTTAGTAGAATGCTTGCCTTGTATGCACAGGCCCTGGGTTCAATCCCCAGCACCACAAACAAAACAAAACAAAAACCAATGAGGTTCTTACCTTAAAGGAATTATATTGCCAACTTCATTATGATAAAATTAGTAGCTAACCTTTTCTTAGCATCTAGTATGTGACCAGTACTATAAAAAAAATAATTTGCCTGAATTAAGCATATAGGAACACTCATATTCCTGACATTTTTACTTCATTTATGGTCAGAACAAAGAGCTGTCCAATAGACTAAAAAGTTACTTATTTTCTTCCCTTAAACATGATATTCTACGTCCACTTAATGAATATTGACCTATAATACATTATTAAATGCAAAAGACACATTAGATGACACTTGGTTTATTTATTATTAAACATCACATTTAAATCCGAAGTCAGAATGTAAAATATGACCTTTAGGAACACGACAGCAGAGTATTTTCATTTAGGGACATGAACAATGTTGTTGAGGAAGATTCGGGATCAGAAATCAGTGAATTAATTAATATTAATCAAATGTTAATAATCAAGTAATCAAATCCACTTGGGATGCTCACAAAAAAAACACCATAACTGGGTGGTTTATAAACAGAAATTTTATTTCTCACAGTCTTGGGTACTAGCAAGTCCAAAATCAAGATGCTATCAGATTCAATGTCTGGTGAGGATTGCTTTCTAGTTCACAGCATCTTTTTGCCATGTCCTCACATGGCAGAAGGGGCAAAAGAACTTTCTGGTATGAGGAGCCGAATGCCATTTATGAGAGTACCACCCTTAGGATCTAAACATTTCCTAAAGGTTCCACTTCCAAACACCATCACATTGAGGATTAGGTTTCAACATATGAATTTTGGAGGACACAGACATTCAGTTGATTGCAATTATAGAATGCCAGGTGTAATGGAAGCTTACTAATGGATGAATTCTGTTTACCTTAACAACTTTATCATTAAATCAAAACCAATTGCCTACTAGTTTACATGCTGGACATAATTTTTTAAAACAGGTAATAATTATTTTGTATTCTCCCAAACATGAATTTCTAGCCACTGAAATCTCAGTTAAGGAGATCAAGTTGTATCAGAAAGGCTCTGCTACTGCCAAATAGAGGATCTCACTTTTTTTTTTTTTTTTTTTTGGCGGGGGTGAAGGGGTGGGTACTAGGGACTGAACCTGAGTCATTTAACACTGAAATACATTCCTAGCTCTTTTGTATATTTTATTTAGAGACAGGATCTCACTGTCTATTTAGGGCCTCACTAAGTTACTGAGGCTGGCTTTGAACTCATGATCCTCCTGCCTTAGCCTCCTCAGTGGCTGGGATTATAGGCATGCACCACCATACTCAAGCAGATCTCACCTCTTGTTTTATTAAAGGTAAAGCATATCTCTCTTCGAGTTCCAAATTGGATATGTTGTGTGTACACGAGTATATGTTTATGTTTTTATCCTGAAATTTGTAGCATGTTTTTGAAATAGTTTGAATCCTCTTTCTAGTGTCACATTAACATGAGGAAATGTTTAGAAGAGTTCTTGCTGCCTTGAGGGGAAAGTGTCCATCTAAATATCTGATTTCGAGGCAAGATAGCTTTTGTTATCTAAATGAATAGAAGAGCCAGGGAAGGGATATGTAATCTTAATAGATCTAAATTTTTTAGTGCACCCAGGACATTGAAGGTGATTGTTATGGTCTGAGTCTGGATCCAGTGTTTCCTGCACTGGGACGATGTGCCTGGGGGTATGCCAAGCCGAAATGGAGGGGTTGGTCCCTTGCACAGGGATATTCTGTCCTTCCAGTCCAGTGTGGGAAAAGAGGCTTCCAAGCACACCCCAGGCCTAGTCTCACCTTGGTACTCTGAGCTTTGATGCCCAACCAACTCCTGGCTTTCATCCAGAGCAGTGGGCAGCCTGGGAGTGCTTGTTAAGTGTAGAATCTCAGATCTCATTCTCCAGACCCCATGACTCAGACTCTCCATGCCACAGAAGTCCATCCCTTAACAATAGCTCTGGGTAATTATTAAGCAACACTAGGTACAAAGGTCACTGTATCTCATTATATTGCCTCTAAATGATTATAAAGCATTCTGCTAGTTGGTATATATAGTACGGACAGACCCTCTAAACCAAAGTTATATTCAGTAATTCATTTTGTAGGGTTCCATACATAAAAATAATGTAATTTCAAGACTGTTAGTGCAACGGTATAGTAAACTGCATAAAGGTCAGTGTTCATTTCCACAGAATAATACCCAGATTAGTTCATTGGATCAGAAACGGATTTGGATGTTAAACAGTCTTCCTCTGAATGTCAGGAATGACAGAATCACAGCACAGACCTGGGCCTATTGCTTTTGCAGTGGTAAGGAAGCTGCCTGCAATGGTGAGAAGAGCAGGAAATGAAACTCTGGGGTAAGGGCATGAGCAGAAGTGAAGCTCAAGAAGGTGCTGCAGGCCTGGTTGGGAGAATTCAGGATAAAAACACGGATCAAAGAAGCAAGGGGTTCAAAAAAACAGGAGTGACCAACTTTTTTAGATAGAGTAATAGTCCCAGCTATTGGGGAGGCTGGGTGGAAGGATCACTTAAGCTCATGAGTCTGAGACCAGCCTGGGCCACAAAAAAGGATCTTGTCTAAAAGAGAGAGGGGGCGGGGGAGGAAGGAAAGAAGGAAATTTTAAACATAAATAACTATTGTTGATCTCGAGAACTAGATGATGGTTTCAGGGGAGTCTAGGGAGAGTGGCCACTTGGGTGGGTGAAGATGAAATGGAACATGAGCCTAGGGAAGCAGCAGGTGCAGTGCAGAAGCCTGTCGGGAATCCATAGTAATAGTAGAGCCATTTGAAAGAGAAATTAATTGGTGGGTCATTGTTCTGAAGGTCACAGAAGGAAAGTCAAGGACTAAAAAAGAAGAATTGAGCCCCAGCACAGGAGGGACAGTTCATCCTGTACAGGTGTCAGGCAGGAGGTGGCAGTGAGTACAGGGACATGCCCAGGATGAGGTGGGTAGTGCAGCCAGTCATGGTTCTGATTTTCTCCCTGAAGTAGATGACATAACCTGCTGAGAGGGAAGGGATTCGATACTGAATACGGAGCTTGGTGGTTTGGAACAGCCGCTATTAAGGACAAACAATGGAGTGGTCAATCAAGGCTGTTGTCAGTTGGGATAACATTGGTGGCTACAAGATGGGGCCAAATAGCTTGGGACTTAGTATTCAGCAGCTGTGGACCTGGAGTAGAGGGGCAGGTCAGGGAACTGCTTCTAGGACGACACTGACATCTAGCTCATGAGGATGATGGACTTCATGCTCAGACCTCCTCACTAAAATGAAGCATCCCATTTGTGCACCAGGTGCCTCAACCAGGAACCCTGAAGCTGACCCACCTACAGGAAGGAACATACACCTTCCAGCTGACCGTGACTGACACCGCTGGTCAGAGAAGCTCCGACAATGTGTCCGTGACAGTGCTTCCCAGGACCTACTCCACAAGAGGTAAGAATATTTTCCCTTGGTTTACCACAGCCAACTGGAAGGGTGGGGTCACATTGGCATTTTATATTCTGCCTGTGCGTTCCATGGGCTCTTCTGTTTTATTTTTGGTGGTTATTGAATGACAGAGTTTTTACTAAGAATATAATAAAAAACACAGGCTCCATTATATTTTGGGATAACTGTTTGGGATGGAGGAAATACTCCCAGGGGATGAGAATAGAAGGTATGAGCTCCTGGAACTCATAGATATTTCAGCTTTCCTCACTGGCCTTCATAAAAGACAGTTCCTGGCTTTTCCAGGAGAAGGATTTGTTCAAAGATAGAAAGGTCTTTTGGATATGTATGTTCAAAGGTATATGTATGTATGCCGTTATGAGTACAGTTAAAACAACTCATAAAAACAGAGACTAGAATGGTGGTTACTAGAGTCTGGGGTGATGTAGGCTGCATTGGTTAAAGTTTCATTTAGACAGAAATAATAAGTTTTAGTGATCTATTGTATAGCATGGTAGCTACAGTTAACAATAATGTATATTTCAAAATTGCTAAAAGAGTAGATTTTAAATGTTTTCACCACAAAAAAATGAGTAATTGAAGTGATAGATATGTTAATTAGTTGATTTTATCACTCCACACTTACATCAAATTACATCATATCACCAGAAATAAATAAAACATCATCTCATGGGGCTGGGGATGTGGCTCAAGTGGTAGCGCGCTCACCTGGCATGCGTGCGGCCCGGGTTCGATCCTCAGCACCACATACAAACAAAGATGTTGTGTCCGCCAAAAGCTAAAAAATAAATATTAAAAATTTAAGAAAAAATAAAAAATAAAACATCATCTCATAAATATGTAATATTATTATTTGTCAATCAAAAATAAAATATGGGGGTGGGGAGGGCATGATACCACATGATAGAAGAAAGACTTAGCACTTGGGAACAATCAATTGCTAATAGAATATTCATTTCAGAAACTTTAAGGAAGGAAAAAGAGAGTCTGGCTAGGGAGTACAGTTAAAACAACTTAATATATGCAAAGTACACAGGTCAGTTGAAAAGCATTACTTAAAAATTTTCATGCACACTTTACACCACAGTATAGATACATTAACAATACAATTTAAAATATATTTGATGGTTCTCATGTTCTGTTGAACAATATAATACTCATTTACTTCATTCATCTATGCTTCTTTTTGAAATATCTGCATTTCTAAGATTAGTTCATCAAGTTAAAATATATATTCTCACACACACACACACACACACACATATATATATATATTACATTACATTACATTACATGGAAATTTTTCAGTGCTGAAGATACAGTGGTATTGCAGAGGGAAGTCCTGCACAACTCACTTCTGGAGAAGTGCTGAGATACTGTACATTTGGGGATCCTCCCATTCACTCAGCAGACATTAGCGTCTACAGGAACTGTACTAAGCACTGGGAACAGAGCACTACATTCAGGTGATGTGGCCACCCTCCTCCTGAAGCATCTAGTCTCACAAAACTTGGCCTTCACTAGCTATAGGTCTAGCAAACTGCAGCAAGTCTCTGATGTGCTTAAATACAGTCTTCAACATTCAGCATCTGGATAGTCATTGAGCCAGCAGTTTGAAGAATAAGGGTACAAGAACTGGAATAAGACTGTGATTTACTTCTATATTGTGGATTTGGTTTTGCATTAAAAGCGTTAAGTGTACGTATTGGAAATGAAGTTTTATAGATAGCTAGAGATATTAGAATCTTAAGGATTTGGCAACCTTGATAATTTGCATAAGCAGCATTAAAATTTTGATTGGCATGTGAGCCTTTTCTGGCCAAGTTTAAGCTTACTGTGAGGAAGGAGGACTAGCTGTACACGGACAGGCCAGACACCAGACACTGTCCACACTGGCACCAGGAGGTCACAGGGGATAGTGAGTCCATCCAGTATAGTCCAGATTTGATCAAACTTGATGTATTGGGTCATAAAGGAGAGCCTGCCAGCTATGGAGGACATTGTTACCTTGGAGTTACCTTGGAGGCTAGGCATGCAGAAGACCCCTAGGAGCTCAGCACCAGGATGTTCATAACTCTCCAGTACAGGCCCAAGGCCAGGGGGGCTCACCTGGGTGGGGACTGAGGCTGGTTCTGATTCTGGGAGGAGAGTGCTCTTGGGAAGAAGATGCACATAGTGTGTCATTTGCACAGAAATCAGAAGAGGATTGCTTCTGCACATCCTGGGTGCCTACAAGGGAAGAAGGGCCTGGGCTGACATAGGCAGATGGTTGACACCTCCCCCCTGATTTATTTACTCAGTCCAGCTTTCCAGGTAAATGACCAGTTGTAAATTTCTGGTCCTTCTCCAAGATGATAATAAAATATATTTGAAGTGACAGAGAGTGATATGAATCATTTACAGAAAGGCCACTTTGGTATAGGTCTTGTGTATGTAACTTTATATAGGAAATTTTAAAATATCATTGTAGTGCTACTATTACCTGGAATCACTTACTGGTTATATTGAAAGAACATGCAATGAATTAAAGTTAAGGGAACATCTGGTATAAATAGTGAAAAGCAGAGGCAGTGGTGTTTCTGTTTTCTTTATTATATGTATTAATATTGGGATTAATGTCCCCATTGTTATGGTATCTAAGAATGGCACCTACTAGCATGAAAACAGACAAGCATATACCCCTAATTATATGATAGTAACCAGGTTCAATTTTGAATATATCAGTATTTTTAATACCTTTTTCATGTCTGGGTAAAAAAAAATCTTCTATTCAAATAGCAAGCCAAAAAGCACTTCCAATATGATCTAGATCAGTGGTCTCCAGATTGGACCCCTCGGAGATGTTCAGAACATTTTAAGGGTAGGAAAGATACTGAAACTCTATGCATATTATTTATAAATAAATCTTAGATATGTGTTCAATAATATATTACTGATCATGATATATGATCAAAAAGGTTTGGAGATTGCTAGTCTAGAGACAAATTTTAAATATGGACCTAATTCTAAAACTACCTCAAAGTAAGTAAAACCTTTAGATAGCTAGGATTTTCATATCATGAATTAAAGAAACATGGTAAGTAACTGCATCCTACTTGGTCAAAGATCCCCTTTGCTTTTTGTCCTGATGCTCCCAGGGGCTGGAGGTGACACTCCTTGGCAGGCCCAAGTTTCTGTGATAGCTGCAGGCTCTTGGCTTCCTCTGCCTCCTGCAGAGCTCCTATCACCATTTCTTTTCTTTTCATTTTTTTCCTCCTATTCCAAGATGTCTGCAAGTTGCCTTGCTCCTAGATAAACATTTCCACCTCTTAGTTTAACTGCTTTTCAATAAAATATGTGTCTAAGATTTAACTTGGGGATGTAAACTCTGCTCAGCCACCATCCTTGGTGGAATATCATATAATTTGCCACTCTCCCTGTTCCTGAGAGAATTGTCTATTCCATTATTTCTTTCCTATAAAATTGTGGAATACCTTATGACCTAATTCTAGGTGGATACCTTTCACCTGTATTATTAATGCCAGACAGTCACCTGATTCTTGTGTAGGTAGGTCTAGTAAAGTTGGCTTAATCCAGGGTGAAGAGAAATGCCTCTCATGAAAATATTTGTAGCTCTTGTAGTTGCAATATAGATTAAATTCTCCTAAGAACTCCAAAGCAGAGAAAAATGTCGTAATTGTGAAAATAAATTTATAAAACCAGTAGCTAAAGATTCTGTTGTTCTCTGTAGCACCAAGGACATTATGTTGTCAATAAATGGGATTCAACAGTAGAAATATAATCTCAGTAAGAAGCATTATTTAAGAAACAAGAGTGTAAGACTCAGCATTTAAAAAAAAAGTGCAGCTATCAAAACAGCCAAGTGGTGGAACACTGTTGGTGACTGTTGGTCCTACAGAGGAAGAGGATTCAGTGATGGGTGAACGATGAATGCAGAGTGGGACAGCTGAAGGAGGATGGCTGGGTGGCCCAAGGAGCCAGAGCTGCTGCTCCTCAGTTCCCGCCTTCTCGGCCACATTGTCTTGAAGAACAGCCCTCAGGCGGAGAGCCATGGGGACTCCTGGGAATTCACTCAGCGGGTCAAGAGACCCTCTAACCTTTCCAGAACCCGTGGCCTGCGCTCTGTTAGGTTTTCCTCATTGGCCACTCTCTTAACCTGAATGCATTTCCCCTTTCCCTGGCATCTGTTCATCGGGACACGGTGGAAGTCTCAACTTTTCCTGCACCCCTGTGACTTGAGACTTGTTTACAAACAGGGTGCTTGAATGTTTGCTCACGCTACCACTTCTTCTGTGACAATGGCTGCTGCATTGATATCTCCCTGGCGTGTGATGGCAAGCCGCAATGTCCTGATGGGTCTGACGAGGCTTTCTGTCAAAACTGTGAGTCCACCAGGTTGCCTGGCCAGGCAGGGGGCTGAAGGGATGGAGTAGGGCTGTCTGTGTTCTCAGGATAAATGGAATGCAGTGTTCCTCCTCTGCCTGGTGTGCCATGTAACTATGTGAAGAAGCTTTTCCGTAATCGGGGATTCACTGAGTCTCTAGCCTGAGTTGGAAATGCCAAGTTTTGGGTATTGCGTATGTTTTTTTAAATTTTCCAAAGATTTTTCCATCCTAAAAATACAGCATAACATATGACTTTAAAAAAAAACTGAAGTGAATTAACATTTTGTGTTGATCATTTTTAAAGAACATTCGTGATGCACTAGAGTATGTCTGAGTCTTACAGTGTCACATGCATGCAAGAAAAAAGAGCTGTAAAAGGTTTGATTCATTAGATCCCAAGTTTTTCGCTGTGAATAGTTCAAAAAAAATTGATACAGATGCATTAAAATAGGTGAGAAATAATAATAATAATAATAATAATAATAAGTACTATTATACTGGTTAATATTCATTAGCATTATATTATAATTGTTATAATATGATTATATATATTACATACTGTATTTAAGATTTTTTTTTTCCTTTTTTTGGTACTGGGGTTGAACCTAGGAGTGCTTATCCACTAATCCACATCCCCAGCCCTTTTTATTTTTTATTTTGAAGCAGGGTCTCATTAAGCTGTTTAGGGCCCTGCTGAGTTTTTGAGGCTGGCCTCAGTCTTCCAAGCAGCTGGGATTATAGTCAGACATACACTACAAAATGTGGCCCTGTATTTAAGTTTTTATAGGTGTCCTACATCTGGAATAATGGAACAAAATGGGTTAAGGAAGTACTGGTTTGAGGAAGAAGAGAGTCACAAAGAATAAAGTTTAAGTTTTGTCTGTGTCCATTTCTTATGTTTTTGATTTTTTTCTTTTTTTATATATGATAGCAGAATGCATTACAATTCTTATTACATATATAGAGCATAATTTTTCATATCTCTGGTTGTATACATATTGATTTTTTAATAATATTTGGAAAGCTAAATTACTGGAAGAAGAGAAAGCCAATTACCCATTGAAAGCTAAAAATAAGTTTTTGTGGGGTTTTTTACATGTTAGATGCGTGGATTATTAGTCCCAAATATCCATGATTTTAAATCACCTGAAAAGGTAGTGGTTTTTAAAGTTCAGAAAAGAAGCTGGGCTTGGTGGTGCATACCTGTAATCTAAGCAGCTCAGGAGGCTGAGGCAGGAAGATCAAAAGTTCAAAGCCGGTCTCAGAACCTTACTGAGGCCCTGAGCAACTCAACAAGACCCAGTCTGTAAATAAAATATATTTTTTTAAGTTGGCGTGGGGGCTGCTAGCATGTGACTTAGTGGTTAAGCAACCCTGGGTTCAATCCCTGGTACTAAAAACAAAAGTTCAGAAATCCAGAAACTAACTAATTTCTTGTATACTTCAGTGGGCCTTGACCACAAGATGGTGAGCCACACGCCAGCTAGTCCTGCCCAGCCAGACACAACGGGCCTGAGTGAACATGCAAGGGAGCACTCATTGTTGGAAAAGTCCCAGAAAGTCACTGCCCCCAACCTGCTGATCACCTCATCAGTCTCAGAGAAGAGAATTCACTCCACCTCCTGGGGACCAGAGAGCCAAATCATTCCTGTGATGCCAGGTAAGGACACCTGGTGAGTTCTCTGTGAAAAGTCTTGTTTTATACATATATTTATAGATGAACACAATGTCTTTATTTTATTTTATTTTTTTATGTGGTGCTGAGGATCAAACCCAGTGCCTCACATGTGTGAGGCAGGTGCTCTACCACTAAGCCTCAACCCCAGCCCCAAAAGTCTTGTTTTTTACAGTTAAATGTGGTTCAAAATTAAGTTATGTTTAAAGAATATTAAGGAAGTATCTCAAAAGAAAGAAAAGAATTAAAATGAAGAATTTGGCCCCAAAAAAGAAACAAACAAAAAAGACTTGACATTTATACTGATTTGTAATAAGGAACACCTACTAAATATAGTTGTCCCTTCATACCCATGTTCCAGGACCCCTGAAGTATCAAAATCCATTGATGCTCAAGTGTCTTATATAAAATGACATTCTATTTGAATATAACCTTCAAAAATCCTCTTGTATACTTTAAATTATTTTCTAGATTACTTATAATATCTCTATACTATAAGTGTAAATAGTTGTTACACTAGACTGTTTGCAGACTAATGACAAGAGGAAAGGTCTGCACATGTTCAATACAGATACAATGTTTTATGCATTCTGGGGATTAAACCCAGGGCCTCCTGCATCTTATTAAACACTTGCTTTACCACCGAGTTGAATCTCCAGCTCCAGATGCAATTTTTGTTTTGTTTTTTAGTATTTTTAATCCAAGGATCCAAGGTTGGTTGAATCTGTGGATACAGAACCCTCAGACATATAAGGTTGACTATACATCCATATACATACATACATTTTTTTTAACTTTATTTTATTTATTTATTTTTATGTGGTGCTGAGGATCAAATACAGGGCCCCACATGTGCTAGGCAAGTGCTCTACTGCCGAGCCACAATCTCAGCCCCTCTCTGTGTCCTTTTTGATAATGGATTTGGTCTTAACTATAAAGATGGAAAAAGTGTTGTGTTATATAAATGCAGAGATTACATGTCCAGTCACTCTTTATAACATTTTGGAACTTTTTTCTAATTATTAATGCAACACAGGAAAATTGGAAAATATAGAAAAATATAAAGAGGAAAATTAAAATCATCTAGCAAAACTTACTATTAATTTTTGTTGTATTTTCTTCAGGTTACTTTTATTTATATACGTAAAAACTTGTATTTATGTATGGATTCACACTCTTATTCATTTTTAACAAAGTTGAGATAATATTTTATAGAACTTGTATTTTTCTCACTTATGAGCATTGTCACAATATTAAATAGTCATCAAAAACAAGATTTTTGAAAGGCCATAGGTGAATGAAGTGAGAAGAAAAGAACAGATTTTTGAAACTGAAAGAAGGAGCCTTCCCAGATTGGTTTCTGACTAGATAGCAGTTTTCTCCACCCTCCCCCTCTGCTATCCCTAAGACATCAAAACTTGTGTCCCTAGCCTCCAATCGCATGTGAGTTAAAGACCCAGCATATTAGAAACAAGTTGTGACATATGCCTGGTTTTAAAAGGATCATCAGCTAATATAATAAATATGGACAAGTTATCTGCTGTCTCCTTCCCCTGGGGCATGTGGTAAGGCAAAGTAAGACATGGCTCATAGAAAGCATGTCAACAAGACCCTAAGATTCATACTAATAATGTAGTGAAGGAAGTGAGGAAATGGAATTTTCATTTATCAGTCATTGAAAATGGTGAAAATTATAATAATTAAGTTTCTAAAGGTGAAGGGAAACGAGTCTCATACACTTCCAGTGGGAATTACAGTCTTCTATGGGGGACCCACTTACTCCACTCTTGGAGACTTATCCCAAGCATGTTACCAGGGAAGAGCTGAAAGCACATACAAATGTTTGGTTACACTAGTGAATGCACACTCAGGACATTCTGATCTCTGGCAGTGAAGAACACAGAGCTCCATTATGGCCCCTCTTTGCTTAGTACCTGATGGTACAATGGGGGGATTGTTGTTAGATGTGGTTGCAGCTGTGAAGCCTGTTCTCTGTGTGGTCCAAGTCATTCATTAACTAGGCTGTCCTCTTATGTCTGATCAAGCAAGAGGAAAGAAATCTGGTTTCCAGTCCTGCAAAATGATGAAAGAATAGTGTCGTATCTACATTCACATGGGATCTGGTTTTGGGCAACTTGAGAACGTCTAACCCTGCAGGTCAGCCGATTCCTTAAAGAGCTGGATTGAAGCTTGGACTAGGAGAATGCACGCTTCTGTATGGAGGTGTGGAGATCTTCGTGCATTTTCATGGGTTCCATTGCCAAATATGCCAAAGCTTTATTGTTTAGCATATCTCTGGAGGTAACTAAAATGAGTGACTTCAATCTTTGTGTTATTATGGAAAGTATTTTATTTTTTGGTCAAGGTAAGAGGATAGAACATATTGCATTTGATAGTGTGTGGACTTCAATTTTAACCTTAAAATATCTAGACACAGGACGCATGGGCCACTGTCCATACTCTCACCCCAGATGCTCTAAGTGTTGGGGTGGGCTTGGCCCCAGGCACAGGTGGCTGGGGGTTGAATCCAGGGCCTCATGCATGCTAAGCAAGCACTCTACCACTGAGATACACCCTGGCCCTCACTATTTTTTTTAAAGGGTTTTTCCACATGCTCTAGATTTTTCATGTTTCATCTTTTTATGGAGTTTGACAATCTCTTTTTATGTGGAGGAACCATTTGGAAACTAAAAGATCATGATTCTAGAAAGGTAGTCTGAATTTGGTGAAGTATGTGATAGCACAGCTGTAAAGCTTGCTCACTACCAACATAGTGCCAGACATCAACCACATTCTCAAATGGTTGGAAGAACCGATGTAAGAAAATTTACTTATTATGAGCAAGAATATTCAAGTGGTTATTTCCATGAAATTATGTGAGGGAGTACGTCCTCTTTCACTGACTTACTTTTGTTTGCAAAATGTCACTTAACCGGCTATAATCTGCATATGCCTTCAAACACACTCTATTATTCTGAGGCACTTAGTGGTTTTGAAAAGGGTACCCTCTACCTTCTACAGGATTTCAGTCTGAAAATTTTGGGTACTGTAATAGGGTTACATATTTTTAAATTTTTTTAATTTGTTTTAATTAGTTACACATGACAGTACAATGATCTTGACATACCATACATTTGAATCAGATGGGATATAATTTCTCATTTTTCTGAGTGTTCAGGATGCATAATCACATTGGTCATGCAGTCACGTATATATCCACAGCAATAATAATGTCTATTTTATTCTGCTGTCCTTCCATTCCCCACTTCCCCTCCCCTCCCCTCCCATCACTTCTCTCTACCCAATCTAATGTGACCTACTTCTTTTTTTTTTTCCCTCACATCGTCATACCTGTATTCTGTATAATGAAGGGGGTCTCCTTCCCTCTCCCATGCAATTCCCATTCTCCCTCCCTTTCCCTCCCACCTCTCTTCCCTATCTGGAGGTAATTTTCTTCTCATGCTCTTCCTCCCTACCCTATTTTGAGTCACCTCCCTTGTATCAGAGAAGACATTCGGTATTTGTTTTTTTGGGGATTGGCTAACTTCACTTAGCATAATCTGCTCTAATGCTATCCATTTCCCTGCAAATGCCATGATCTTGTTATTCTTTAGTGCTGAGTAATATTCCATTGTGAATAAATGCCACATTTTTTTATCCATTCATCCATTGAAGGGCATCTAGGTTGGCTCCACAGTTTAGCTACTGTGAATTGTGCTGCTATAACCATTGATGTGGCTGTGTCCCTGTAGTATGCCGTTTTTAGGTCTTTTGAGTATAGTCCGAGAAGAGGAATAGCTGGGTCAAATGGTGGTTCCATTCCCAGTTTTCCAAATAATCTCCACACTGCTTTCCAAATTGGCTGCACCAATTTGCAGTCCCACCAGCAATGTATGAGTGTACCTCCCCCCCCCTCCCCCCGCATCCTTGCCAGCACTTGTTGTTTGACTTCATAATGGCTGCCATTCTTGCTGGAGTGAGATGGTATCTTGCATTTCTCTTATTACTAGCAATGGTGAGCATTTTTTCGTGTATTTGTTGATTAATTGTATATCCTCTTCTGAGAAGTGTCTGTTCAGATCCTTGGCCCATTTGTTGATTGGGTTATTTGTTTTTTTGTTGTTTAACTTTTTGAGTTCTTTGTATATCCTAGAGATTAGAGCTCTATCTGATGTGTGAGGAGTAAAAATTTATTCCCAGGATGTAGGCTCCCTATTCACTTCACATATTATTTCTCTTGCTGAGAAAAAAACTTTTTAGTTTGAATTCGTCCCATTTGTTGATTCTTGGTTTTAATTCTTGTGCTGTCAGCATCTTATTAAGGAACTTGGGGCCTAACCTCACGTGATTGAGATTAGGGCCTACTTTTTTGTCTATTAGACGCAGAGTCTCTGGTTTGATTCCTAGATCCTTGATCCATTTTGAGTTAACTTTTGTGCATGGTGAGAGAAAGGGATTCAATTTCATTTTGTTGCATATGGATTTCCAGTTTTCCCAGAACCATTTGTTGAATATGCTATCCTTTTTCCATTGCATGCTTTTAGCACCTTTGTCTAATATAATATAATTGTAATTTTGTGGGTTAGTCTCTGTGTCCTCTATTCTGTGCCATTGGTCTACCAGCCTGTTTTGGTGCCAGTACCATTGCTGTTTTTGTTACTATTGCTCTGTAGTATAGTTTAAGATCTGGTATAGCTATACCACCTGTTTTACTCTTCCTGCTTAGAATTACTTTAGCTATTCTGGGTCTCTTATCTTTCCAGATGAATTTCACAATTGCTTTTTCTATTTCTGTGAGGAATGCCATTAGGATTTTGATCGGAATCGCGTTGAATCTGTAGAGTGCTTTTGGTAATATGGCCATTTTAATAATATTAATTCCGCCTATTCATGAGCAAAGTATATCTTTTCATCTTCTAATAGGATTAAAACATTACCCTGTAGGCATATATAAATATATTCATAAAAGTGATATTTTTATTATC